TGGAGCAACGCACACTATTCTGAAACACATAAATATTTGTTTTGAACTTAAACCAACAAATATCACAATTAAACACAATGTCGGATCCTACAGACTTGATTGAAAGGGTTAGTAAAGCTCATTTCACATTACCTAATGGGAAAAAATCTCGATAAATAATGTACTATTTTCTCCAAATTCTAAAAGGAATTTGTTGAGTTTTAAAGACATATGTTTTCAAGAATTTGATACTCAGTCTACAACTGAGGATGAAAAGAAGTATATGTATATTACTCTTGAGAAATTGGGAAATAAAGTGTTGGAAAAACTACCAAAACTCACTTCTAATAAGCATCAAACATATATAAGTGTCATCGAATCACATTTGGTGATTAAGAAAAATTCTGACAATTTTACACTATGGCATGATCGTCTTAGTCACTCAGGCACCGCAATGATGCGAAAGATCATCGAAAACTCACATGGTCATTTACTGAAACCCCAAGAAGTTTATCAGGGGAATAAAAAGACATGTATTGCTTGTTCTCTAGGAAAGTTGATTATAAGACCATCGCCAACCAAAATAGATAAAGAGTTACCAAAGTTCCTTGAACGAATTTAAGACAATATTTGTGGACCTATACATCCACCATTCTACCATTTTATTGTAATGAGTGACGCGTCGAGTTGATGATTACACATTTGTTTATTGTCCTCTTGAAATATAGCATCTGCGAGATTTTTATCTTAGGTAACTAAACTAAGAGCTCAGTTTCCTGATTATCCAATAAAGAGAGTCATTCTAGATAATGCTCGTGAATTTACTTCCCACGCATTCGATGATTATTGTATGGTAACTAGAATCGATGTGGAACATCATGTTGCTCATGTTCATACACAAAATTGTTTGGCTGAAACATTAATTAAACGTCTGCAACTGATTGCAAGACCATTAATCATGAGATCTAAAATCTCAACCTCTGTGTGGGGGCATGCTATTTTGCATGCAAAAGCACTAATTTGAATGAGACATGTGCATATCACAAATACTCTCCAATACAGTTAACATTTGGACAAGAACTAAATATCTCTCATCTAAGGATTTTTGGTTGCGTTGTATATGTGCCAATTACACCTCTCCTATGTACAAAGATGAGACCTAAAAGTAGGTTAGATATATATGTTGGTTGTGATTCTCCATCAATTATACGCTACCTAGAACCACAAACATGTGATGTATTTACGGCACGTTTTTCTTATTGCCATTTTGGTGAAAAAATATTTCCAGTTCCAGGGAAAGAAAATAAACAAGTAGGAAAATAGATAAAAGATGTGTGCCATCTATACTACACCTTGATCCTTCTACAAACCAGTCAGAATTAGAAGTTCGTTGAATTATGCATTTGCAAAGCATTGCAAATCAACTACAAGATGCATTTGAAGAAATCAAAACGGTAACAAACTCACATATATCAGCTGCAAATGCTCATGCTAGTACAGAAATACCACATGAATGTGAAAGAGATGATAAAATACGAGAATCAAAAATACGCTTGGAGCATGGTAGACTTGTTGGTTCTACGGATAAAAATCCTAGAAAATGAAGGAGATGGAAAAGCAAAATTCATCCAATATAACAGAAATACTAGACGAAATGAACCATGAGGATAATAACATAATTGAACATCATGATTCTGAAAAAGATCATGATATTTATATTAACTACATTCAGAATAAAAAATATAGAATCGAAATAAAGTGAATGATATTGATGAGCTTTCTCGTATTTTGTTTCAAAGGTAATAAATGAAGAGACCGATGATCCGGAACCAAATTCCATTTTCAAATATCAAAAGAGACACGACTTGATGAAATGGAAATATATAAGTTGAGCTTGATTCACTTAACAAACGAGAGGTATTTGGACCCATTGTAATTACACCTGAAACTGTGAAACCAGTCGGTATAATTGAGGTTTTGTTCGGAAATGAAACGAGAAATACGAAGTAATGAGATACAAGGCTCGACTTGTAGCTCAAAGATTTTTTCAAAGACATGGGATCGATTATGAAGAAACATATTCTCATGTTATGGATGTAATCACTTTTAGATTTTTGATGACTCTTACGGCTAATCAAAATCTAGAGATGCGTCTAATGGATGTTGTTACATCATATTTATATGGATCCTTGGACACTGATGTTTATATGAGAATCCTTGAAGGATTTAAGATGCCAGAACTATTAAGTTCTAAACCTAGAGAGTTATGTGCCATCAAATTGCAAAGATTATTATACGGCTTAAAGCAATATGGGCGCATGTCGTATCATTGTCTCAGTGAACATTTAACTAAAGAATGGTATGTTATGCTCATGTATTTTCATCAAGAAAACGTCATATAGATTTATTATTATTGTCGTATATGTCGATGATCTAAATATTATTGGAACTAAAGAAGAAATATAAAAGGCATCTGATTATTTAAAAAGAGAATTTGAGATAAAAGATCTGGGACAAACAAAACATTGTCTTAGTTTACAAATTGAACATTCCCATAAGAGTATATATGTACACCAATCTACATATACGAAAAGAATGTTGAAACGATTCAACATGGACAAAGCAACTCCATTAAGTACTCCTATGGTCGTTAGATCACTAAATGTTGAAAATGATCCATTTTGACCTCATGAAGACAATGAAGAGATACTTGGTCCTGAAGTGATGTACCTAAGTGCAATAGGAGCACTTATGTATCTTGCAAACTGTACTCGGCATGATATATCAATTTCCGTTAATCTTTTGGCAAGGTTCAGTGCATTTCCTACATAAAGACATTGAAATGGGATCAAACATGTCTTCTGATATCTTCAAGAAAAGATCACTTTAGAATTATTTTATCCTAACAAACTAGGTACGTATTCATAGTTGGAGGAACTGCTATATCATGGCGCTCCCAGTAATAAACACTTGTAACTACTTCCTCAAACCATGCTGAAATAATCGCTCTCCACGAAGCAAGTAGAGAATGTGTTTGGCTTAAATCAATAAGTCAACACATCCTTTCAAGTAGTGGGATCAACCGTCAATTCAAAATCGACCATATTATATGGAGGCAATGCAACATGTGTCGCTCAAACAAAAGAAAAATTAATACATCATAAATGACCGAACTAAACATATTCCACCGAAGTTCTTCTCATATAACCAAGAACTCGAAAAAAATAAAGAAATTAAAGTGAGGTATGTTCGATCTTGTGACAATGATGCAGCTCATTTTACTAAGTCACTACGCATTACAATATTTAGAAAACATGTTTACAACATAGGAATGCGTCATCAACAAAACCTATAACGATCGTCTATTTTTGAGGGAGCTTCTTAATTGTACTATTTTATCTTACTATGGTTTTTTTCAATTAATTTCTATTAAGGGTTTTAATGAGACAACATGATACTGATCTCCCAAAAAGAGTGTTAAAAAATCAAGAACTTGTATATACAAACTAATATGGAATCCATCATCATAAATTCTTAAAGTATTATTTGTCTGATTTTTCTTCTATTTTTCTTCTATTTTTTTTTCACTATTATTATTTTCTTTCTACTCAAGATTTTGTATTATTTTGTATAAATAAATTTCTAACAAAATCAACATTCCTGGCATTTTGTGGGATTTAAAGCTTTAGAATTGGTTGCAGAGTCTATATGAATCGTTTTCTCGATGTCAGCTTTAGAATTGGTTTGGATAACGATCCATTTAACAAATGAAAGTTTTCGGCGAACCGGTAAGTCTCCCTTCTTGTTCTTTACATGGGAAAATGATCAGCTCAACCCACAAGATCAGGATTAAGGTTTTAATCAAAACCCACAGATCCAGCTCCGTTCAACCTGTGTGGGAACGGTCTGGTATGGATCGGTCTATTTTAAAAAATTGAATTGCAGGTGCAAATGCAAGTTTAGTTTAGCAAAAGTACTATTTTCTGAAGAGAACAATATTTTTTAAGCGAGGTGCAATTTTGTTTGAATCTATTTTCTATGATATAGAATTCATCAAGCGTAGCCACCAAATTACTGAATCTAATGTAAACTGGATTCTTTGTCCACAAAAAAAAAATGTAAACTGGATTCTCAAATTGATGAAGAAATTGTAAATTGTTGAAATTCTGTCTGGAATGGAGGAAAAACGCAGAGTTGTGTAGAGAAGACTAGAGAGAAAACAAAGAATATGTCAAAAATTGTATAAGAGCAATGGTGAGATTAAACAAATGCAGAGTTCGACGAACTCCAATAAGTACTCACAAAAACTTGGAAAGAGAGAATCAAGAAGAAAACAAGAGAGGGTGTTATATTGTAAAAAAAATGTTTTACTACAATTAAAGGTAAACTATGCAAAAGCATAATGAAGAAGCAAGACAGAATATAAAATGCAGAAAAATCCACTTATTCTATCTACAAATCTCACATAACTTAGGTTAACAGTCGATTAACAATTATCTAACCCAAAAGAAAAGAACATAAGAAACAGAACCAAATGCAGCAGCAGCCATTCGAACTAGTAGGTAAATCGTGTTTAAATGTTTTTGATGTGACTAGGTTAATCAGAATAGCTACTTGATGAATTAAAAACGAAACATGCTCATAATTCAAACACACTCAAGATCAAAATCTAAAGAACTTCAACCTCTAGCTCTAATATTAAGATTCAAAGTATCGAAAACCTAGTTGCAAGTAGTTGGGAGATTCAAGCACACTGCACCAAAGGATACTAGGAGCAAGTAGACTCTATGAATGCATCGGTGCAAATGAGCAAGAATCGAGCGAAAGAAACCCATAAACTCAAGATTGACAACAGAAAAGGAAAACAACGATATTATATAATGCTAACTGCATAATCGTTAACAAGCCAAGCAAGCAACGAATTAGGAAGAAGGAACCAAGTTCAGACAAGCAAATACCAAATCCACAAACAAGTCATTACAATAACAGATAATGGAACCAGAGAGAGAGTAAGGCAGATGTCAAGCCTCACTGTTTTCTGTCTCAGGAGCCAGGGCGTCGTCCTCCACAGCTTTAGCTTCGTTCTTTGTCTCAGTTCCGTTACCGGCGGTGGCAGCAGATCGATCCTTGACAGTCTCAAGCATCCTCTTGCTAATCTCTTTGGAGTAAACCTCAAGGATCTTGATCCCATCGTCATCGTCGGAAACAGCGTTCGATGCGACGCCGTAGGCTTCCTCCTCGATGGATTTGGCGACGGCGGAAGCGTCGTCGGAGTTGAGCGTTCCGTATCTCCTGGAGAGGATGGAGTCGGTGGACAGCGTCTCGATCAGGCGGTTCAAGACGGCGTCGCGAGTTTTCTGCGTGGGCGGCCAAATGCGGAGGGAGATGGATCCTGCCTTCGTATCTTCCTTCTTCAGATCTACGCCTTTTGAGGCTTCGTCCGATAGCTGATCTCCCGTGGAGGACAATGTGGTCGACTCTTCTGATTCTGGCTGCGGAGGTGAGACCGTTGTGTTCATTGATTCCGCGGTTTCTTCCATTTTTTTTCTCAGTTTTAGGGATTCAGAGCAAATGAAGTTCAGAGCAAATTTAAGAGATTTTACTTCTTGTTTGTTGGTTTGGTGTTAAAGAGGAAAGGATCAGTGGTGACGTCGGTTTAAAAGTGAAAATTACGTTTTTCTTTACATTTATTGGTTGGTTTGGTATAACCGGAATTAATATTTCAAATTTGTATTTTATAGAGAATTAGAAAGGTATTTGAGTAAATCTATAATTGCAAATATTATTCTGTAGAAAATAATAAAAAACATGGGGTTTTTTTTGTAAACATGTTGAAATGTGTTTTCAGTGGCACGGCCATAGCAAACCGGCAAAACAAAATTCAGACACAAAATTGATGAAAGTTTGCCCGCCAAACAAAATTTCAGATGACTTTCGTGCCTCCAAATTTTAGTTTTGACTCCCAAAAAAACTCAAAATCACAGACAAAGCGCGAGAAACTTTGATTTCAACTCTAAAGTTTTTTTCAGGAATGGCGCTTATGCTCGTCCTTTTTCATCCCCCTCTCACCTTCACTTCTTCCTCCCACCAAATCTCGATCTCGATCCTTCTCTCTCTCTCTTGCAATCTCTTCAATCCCTTCCTAATTCATGACGAATCAAGAGATCTGCGTGAGGGTGACGAGAGCGGCGGCGAAGAGAAAGGCTATGGCCACGGAGGAGGAACGTGTCACCAAGAAGAGAGTTGTCCTCGGTGAGCTTCCCAACGTGTCCAACGTCAAGAATCTCAGCCGGAAGAGAGAGATCGCCAGTCCCACAAACAGTATCGGAGCGAAGCTAAGAAAGACAGCTCCGGTTGCTTTGGCTGCCGTAGAATTTGGATCTGACATTGATGCTCGATCTGATGATCCTAAGATGTGTGGTCCTTATGTCTCCGACATCTACGAGTATCTCCGTGAGATGGAGGTAATCACAATCTCTACCTTATTGAATAATCTCTATTTAATTGGATCAATTAGCTTTTAATTGAAGTTGTTGGTTTGGTTTGGACATGTTATGTGAAGCTGAAAGTTTTTTTTTTTTTTTTTTTTTTAATGTAAACTCAGGTGAAGCCGAAGAACAGACCTTTACCTGATTACATCGAGAAGGTTCAGAAAGATGTAACACCAACCATGAGAGGAGTATTGGTTGATTGGTTAGTGGAAGTTGCTGAAGAGTACAAGCTCTTGTCTGAAACACTCTATCTCACTGTCTCTTACATCGATCGATTCTTGTCCTTAAAGACTGTCAACAAACAGAGGCTTCAGCTTCTGGGCGTTTCTGCAATGCTTATTGCTTCGTAAGCATCTTTGAGATCCCTCTTGTGTTATCTATTCTTTGCTATGTCTAGAACTTATGAGATGATTCTTCTCCTTTTGGTTTATTGGGAATGAGTAGGAAGTATGAAGAGATAAGTCCTCCCAAAGTGGATGACTTCTGTTACATCACTGATAATACATTCTCGAAACAAGATGTGGTGAAGATGGAGGCAGATATACTTCTTGCGCTTCAGTTTGAAATGGGAAGGCCAACAATCAATTCTTTTATAAGGTTAGATTGTGTGATGAAACCATGTCTTTTATTTATAAAATGTATTGGTTTGTATGGTTCATTGTCCTCATTGTCTGTGTTTGCCCTTTTTGTTATGTGCAGACGGTTCACAAGGGTTGCTCAAGAAGATTTCAAAGTAAGCTCTAACTGATCTATATTTATATATTATCTTGAATCTGACGAGTTTCAAATACTAAGTATTCTTTTTCTATGGCTTTATTTCAGGTGCCACACTTACAGCTAGAGCCACTCTCTTGCTATTTATCAGAGTTGAGTATATTAGATTACAGAGCTGTCAAGTTTGTGCCATCTATGTTGGCTGCTTCTGCTGTCTTTCTTGCTCGGTTCATCATCCGTCCAAAACAACATCCTTGGGTAAGCAATTTTTCTCTCTCTCTCACTCTCTTACATGTAATATGTTTTGAATGAGATACTAATTATCGATGGTGGTGACTGATGTAAACAGAATCAAATGTTAGAAGAATACACAAAGTACAAAGCAGCTGATCTACAAAAATGTGTTGGAGTCATTCATGACTTGTATCTAAGCAGAAGAGGAGGTGCTTTACAAGCTATAAGAGATAAATACAAGCACCACAAGGTAGATAACTAAAAAAATTGTTAATAAGGAGATCATTTAATTTAGCATTCTTGCATCCTTATTGTTTCTCCCTTTTTGTTACAGTTCCAGTGTGTTGCGACCATGCCTGTATCACCAGAGCTGCCAGTTACCTTTTGGGAGGATGTTACCATTTGATCTGAAATCAAATTTTCTTTTGGCTGAGGTTTTGTTATCTTAGGCAAATCTTACTGAGTTCAGTTTCGTGAAACATCTCTCTAAACCGACTTGTTAGTCAAATAGTATACATATTCTATGGCTGAAGCTGGTGTAGTAAGACACTCTTGAAGTGAAGGCAGTAGCAAAATAATTTATGTATGTGCGTAATGTGATTTGTCATTCAAGTATCGTTTTGTATACAAGATTAGTATGTACCCCTGGAAGTTGGAATAATACAATAATATGATTTAAGTTGGAATAATACAGTAAATCTGTAAATCTAAGATTTAAGTTTAAGAAATGAGCACCCTTTGAAAGAACAGAGAATATTTGCTAAGCTTAATGCATTCATCTCCAAGACTACAACTACTTAGTGACAAGTTTCTTATATCTCAAGTCAAAGACACTTTGCACTTTATAATCTTAAATCTACACTTACACTGAGTTGCTTTATAGAGGAGGAACTAATCGGGAAGACAATCTAGGACATGACTAAACTCACTAGCATGAATAAAACCTTTTAATTTGGAATAGGTTTCCAAATCCAACCTTAGATCATGGTGAACAAAAGGGAAAAAAAGGTCTTGACTTGTGTTTCTTTGCGTCTTACAAATTCTATAATCGTCTACGTTATTTTCATCAACATAAGTTAACCTCTCTTTATAAGTTATTAACAACTCATTATGACTATCTGACAGTAGTTCTATTATGTTATATATTTCAGATCTGACATCAAAGCTCATTATAATAAAATCATCCCCTCTCCTTTCACACTCTTTAGGTATAGGCTTAGATATTACATCAGTCTCTATGCATTGCCCATAAACATAGTCAAAACATAGAGAATCCTTGAGAGATTCTTCAAATGCTTTAATATAATCACACTTTTAAAAGAAAAAACATAAATCTTGGAACCAGTGGATATCACAAAAATATGCCTTTGGACATTCTGACAATCTTAATTCTACACTGAATTGCTTTATAGTGGAGGAACTAAGAGAGAAGACAATCTAGGACATGACTAAACTCACTAGCATGAATAAAACCTTTTAGTTTAGAAAAGGTTTCCAAACCCAACCTTAGATCATTGTGAACAAAAAGAAAATAAAGAGTTTAACTAGGGAGAGTAGGGCTGGGCAAAAAACCCGGATCCGAAGAACCGAACCGAACCCGATCCGAAAAAGTAGTATCGAATCCAAACCGAAATTGATTCAATATCCGAATGGGTTCAAAATTTTGATATTTAAAGAACCGAAACCGAACCCGACCCGAACCGAAGTATTTCGGGTACCCGAATATATCCGAAAGAGATTTATATACCTATATATATTAGTTATTTTTAGATTTAATGTATATATAAAAACATTCAATATATATAAAATACTTTGAAGTTATTCAAAATACTTGTAAATATATGTAAATAGTCAAACATACATGTCTAAAATTACTAAAGTACACTTAAAACATCAAAAATACTTTAAAAAATTATTGATTCTCAATCCAAATATTCAAATCAAACTAATTTATATGTTAATTTTAGGCATTTTGACTTATGTTATTCAATTATTTGTAATATGTTATTTTCTTTATAGATTTTTAGAAATGTAAAGTATATCATCAGTTTTAAAATTTTAAAAATAATTTAAATGGGTTATCCGAACCCGAACCGAACCCGAAAAGATCTGAACCGAACCGGAACCGAAATTTAGAAATATCCGAATGGGGCTAAAATTTGTGAACCCGAAAACCGGAAACCCGAATAGATCCGAACCGAACCCGAATGGGTACCCGAACGCCTACCCCTAGGGGAGAGGATAAAAGACGGTTCCTCCATTCTTAGCGGGTGCCCCACTTGTGCATTCACAATCACGGAACTGTTGACAATAAATTATGAAAAGTGGGTGCTTTACTTGTGTTCAGAAGTTATGTTGGATTGTATTGCAAAGAAAGAAAAACCGTGGTAATCTCGGGATGAGGATAATTTGATTAAATTCCACTGAAGAATTTTCATCAAAAAATTATTTCATGTCAAAATAGAATTAACTTTTGGAAGAAGCAAAACCTAAAAAATTCTACTACACTAATTAAAGAATTAAAAGATAAAGTAGATTTGGCACAAAATGATGATAATTCTACGACGGAAGAGTTAGAGGATTTACAAAGACAATTAATATTGGCCTTTAAAGAAGAAAATACTTTTTGGAAACAAAAAAAAGTAGGAACCAGTGGCATAGATATGGGGACAGAAACATAAAATTTCACCATGCCATTACAAAACAACGAAGAGCCCAGAATCGAATCATCGGTATCAAAGACAAGCATGAGAAGTTGGTAGAGAGTGAAATCGAGGTAGAGAATATGGATGCTCAATACTTTCGTGACCTCTTCTCTACTTCTTCGCCGACAGAGCTAGACAACTCCCTTCGTTTTATTTCAGAAAAGGTGTCTCAAGCCGGCAATAGGTTACTCTTAGAGGAACCGTCAAAACAGGAAATTAGAAAAGCTCTCTTCGAGATCAACCCGGACAAAGCACATGAACCGGATGACATGACTAGTAAACTATTTCAGAAATTCTGGCATGAGATGCGTCAAGACATTATTATACTTGTACAAGACTTCGTCACGGCATGCAGTTTCGACCCACTTTTGAACCAGACGAATATCTGCCTCATCCCTAAAAAGAAGAAACCTCGGATATGACCGAGTTTAGACCGATTAGTCTCTGCAATGTTACCTACAAAATTATATCTAAGCTCTTAGGCAAGAGACTTAAGAAGGTTATTCCACGGTTGATCTCAGAGACACAATTTGCCTTTGTGGCAAAACGTTTGATTACTGATAACATTCTGATAGCACAAGAGAATTTACATGCCCTACGGACAAATTAGAGATGCAGGGAATATTTTATGGCTATCAAAACAAATATGAGCAAAGCTTACGATATAGTGGAATGGAGTTTCATAGAAGCTTTGATGTTGAAGATGGGCTTTGATAAAAGACTGGTTGACCTCATTATGTGCTGTGTCACGTCGGTCTCATATCAAGTTTTAGTCAATGGGCAACCAAGAAGAAAAATTTTACCAAGGAGAGGTTTGAGACAAGGAGACCCCCTTTCCCCCTTTTTGTTCATCCTGTGTACAGAGGCTTTGATCTCACCCTTAAACGGAGCTGAAGAGGAGAAGGATCTCCCATCTTCTTTTCGCAGATGATAGTCTCTCCTTCAGTAAGGCAGAATTAAGCCAATGCATGGAGATCATGGACATTTTAGACGTATATGGAAGTGCATCAGGACAAAGACTAAATGCGTCAAATTTCTCGATGTTTTTTGGAAACCTAGTGGAGTTATCTCTAAAGCAAGATATATTAGAGGTCTTGGGTTTTTCTTCTGAATGCATGGGAATGTACCTTGGATTACCTGAATAAATTTGTGGCTCGAAGATAAAAGTTTTCTCCTATGTACAAGATCGACTCAATGGGTGAGTCAACACTTGCTCATTCGAGACTCCTCTCCAAAGGAGGAAAAGAAGTTCAAATTAAATCTGTAGCTCAAGCAATTCCGACATTCCCAATGTTGTGTTACTTGATTCCACAAGTCATTACCGTAAAATAAGGAGAAAAACTTCTAATTTTTGGTGGAGCTCAAAACAGAACAGCAGAGGTTTACATTGGATAGCATGAGACGAGATCTGTACCCTAAAGATTTGGGGGGGGGGGGACTGGGTTTTCTAGATCTCCATGACTTCAATATAGCGATTCTTGCAAAACAATTGTGGAGATTGATTCATTACCCGAACTCCTTACTGGCACGTGTCCTAAAGGGAAAGTATTACAACCACACCTCTCCCTTGAAAGATTGACGAACATACTCACCATCATATGGCTGTCATAGTATCATGGCAGCTAAACCTCTACTCATTTCAGGTTTAAGGAAAACAATTGGTATGGGTCGAGATACGTTGGTTTGGAGTGAATCTTGGGTGCCAGACTCAGTGGCTCGACCACCTAGACTTGCCGATCACATTGTTTACAGACTACCCCAACTTCGTGTTCAGTACTTTATTAGGAATGATACTAAAGAGTGGGATATACAACTTTTACGAGAATTTTTTCACCCATGAGTTATTCCCTTGATACTTGGGATAAAAACTTCTCGCTATCTTTGTCCGGATGGATATGTTTGGAACCACACAAAATCAGGAATTTACTCAGTTAAAACTGGTTATGACATACTTCAATCAACCAAGAGGAGTCTCACACAGGAAGAGGTTCTAGAACCAAGTATCACGAGCCTTCAGAGCTACGTGTGGAAGATAAAGGCTCCACGTAAGATGAAGCATTTCTTGTGGCAGGCTATCTCGGGCTGTGTGGCGACGGTAGAGAGGCTCAGTTATAGTCACCTGGGCACCGATAGGATTTCTCGTAGATGTGCTGGCCTAGTGGAGTCGATTAATGATCTTCTTTTTGAATGCCCCCAGCCTTGCAGGTTTGGGTTTTATCAGATTATCCGTCCCTTCCGGATGAATTCCCGAGTACATCTATATACCAAAACATGAACTTTCTGTTGGTACATTTGGAAGGCGAGGAACGACAAACTCTTTAATGGGAAATTCGTATCACCGATTGACACCCTACAACATGTGTCTCTTGAGGCAGAATGTTGGAGGAAAGCTAATGAAAAGGAGGAAGCAAACGAGGATCATGACAACCCTTCTTTTACAGAAGTCGAGATAGCGCCCCCTTGGATACCCCGAATCCCTACTTGCCAAATTGATGCGTCATGGATCGATAATGGTAGTGTTAGTGGCTTAGAGTGGAGTCTTAAGGATCAGATGGATTCTGAAGTTTTCGGATTACAAGCATGCAGAAAGAGCCTCTCAGCATTGCATGTTAAGATGGAAGGTCTACTTTGGGCAGTCTCATGTATGGTAGACAGGAGGATAATTTCGGTATGTTTTGAGATGGACTGTTCGGACCTAGTGGAGATGACTACAAACCTGGAGGATTGGCCGACTTTTATGACAGAGATTGAAGCATTCCAAAGGCTACAAGAGAATTTAGAGGATGTAAGCCTGTCTTATATTCCTCGGAGTAAGAATGGTAGAGCAGACGCGCTACCAAAAGAAGCAAGAACCAGAGGCTATACATTTTCCCATATAGATCAGACCCAGACAGACGGAGGTGCTCCTCAGAGAATCGGCTCGTCTGACCACCACTTGATCTAGTTTAGATGGGGGCTGACAGAAAAAAAAAAACCTCT